CCCCGCCAGCGGGGTCCTTGTGGGCGGCAGGGGGGAGGCTCTCCAGTCTTTCTTGTGGCTAGCAAAGGAGGGCGGCCACGAACACCTGCAGGGGATGGGGGATTTGCAAAATAACCGCGGGTCCCTGTGCGGTGAGCAAACCACCAGCTCGCAGCAGAGCGGCCTCGGCTTCCTCTGTGGGCACCCGCACCGCAGATGCGCCGGTGTCTCCGCGGGCTGCGGTCTGAGCCCCTCGTGTCTGCGAGCGCCTGCGGCTGCTCCCAGTGGCTGGGCTGCTTGCAGCAGGGAGCATCTGTGCTGGCACGTGGGGCCTCCATGCTCCTGCTTCGCCCCGCGTGCTGCTGCTGGCTGCAGCGCCTGGCTGCTTCGCTCCGGGATTTCCTGAGAGCAAGAGAAACCCACTGGCACATCCTCCCGTTGGGAAACGGGAAAGCCCGGCAGGGCGGAAGTTGCCTATTTGTTTAAGGTGCAAGCAAGTTATGTTAATCTGCTGCCTGTTTGTATTTCTTTAGAGGATCCGTGCGCGTGGGAGCGGAGATGGAGTCTCCCCTTTGTGCGGAGGCAGTGTCAGGCTATTGGGAGTGAAGGTGAGAAAACACAGTGGGGCAGATGGAACCTGCTTTTGGAGTGAAAGATTTTTTTCGGCTATTTATGATAATTAGTGGGAAACGCTCCTCAAGCGTTTCAGATGATTCTGTAATGAAGTTGGGCAGAATGTTCCCGCTTTGTTCCCCGGGAACCATTAAAAATCCCCCTTCTTTGGCTGCCTTAATGCAATGCTGAAAAGGCACAATGGAAGAAAAGTCGCTCTGGGCAGGTCGGAACGCCTCCTTCCCCCCTCTGCACAGAGCCCTTTAGAGCCGAGATTTTCTGGGTTATAAACCCTGGTGCTCCTGCAAACGCTGCTCCTGAGGCTCCTTTGGCAACGCCAACACCGTTCTGCGCACGTGAGCACCAGCGGACCCAGCCGGCCAACTCGCCACACGGCTCAGTGTGGCACAAAGAACTGCGCACGCAGACCCAAATCAGCAAGGGCAGATGCAGCAGGAGACGCCGTCACTCAGCCCTTTCAGAAAAGTCACTTTCTGCAATGTGTGCCTGTGGTCGAGCAGATGTTGCTGCAACTTTGCCAAGGTGAAATGCCTCGGCTGAGAGGGCTGCGATGTCTGAAACCTGTGCAGAGAGGAAGGGGGAGTCCAGCCCCCAGGAGAGTCATCCTGCACCACTGCTTGTCTTGGGCCTCATCCCATTCCACCTGCTTATGCTGTACAATCCCTCAGCTTGGGTGCAGCATGAGGCACGACAGGCAGGCGTGCGAAATCCAGCAGCATCTAACCCTCTGGATGGGGAGCAGGAGTTGGCTCTTTCTCCTCCTGCTTTTAGCAGTGAGGGCTCCTCCAGCAGCAGTGATCAGCAGAGATGTCACCTGCCTGGTGTCAGACATCTATCAGCACTATTTCCCCGGGGGCGATGTGCGAAGATAATGCGAGCTGACCTCCTAAAGTGATGAAGGGAAAAGACCAGGAGCTTTTAGCATAATGGTCAGGCTGGGTGTGACGGTGAGGGTTTTAGTGCCCCCATCAATATTCCTGTCCCCCATGCGGTGCTCAAACTCCGGCAGGTGAGATGTGGGAGGGCTGGAGCAGCAGGACCTGGGAGCTGCCTCCTCCTGAGCCTGCAGAAGAGAGGTCAGTGTCACCAGCCCCAGCCTTAATCAAGTTCTCGTGTCATTCCGCGCCTTGCGGGCCCCCGTGTGCCTCTCAATAAGGCCATATTTGCAGACAGATTTCCAGCAGCAGGAGTGGGTGCTCTCCAGCATGGCGAGATAAAGGGGAACGGCGGCCTCGGCACGGGCACCCACTGCGAGTGCTGCTGGAGGAGCTCCGTGCTGCCTCCAGAGCTGGTCACTTGGGGTGGTGTGGGAATAGGCAGGGAGGCTCTTTGAGCGGATGGCTATTCTTCTTGCCAAGAAAATGCATGGCGAGAACAGCACGAGGCCATCTGTGAATAGGCTGGGCCGGGCACCTCCATGTTTTTGCTTGGACAGGTCCTGAGCCATCACTTGAATTACGGCGCCTTTGTCAATACCTGCCCAAGCCATCTTTCAGGGAGGAAATCTCTAGATATGGAACAAATTTTCTTTGGGAACTGGGGCTTACATGGCTGGACACTGGGCCCAGGGATGGAGCATTTGACTGACACATGTTGGGAAGAGAGTTGGCTCCAGGTGCGGATGGAGCATTTGACTGACACATGTTGGGAAGAGAGTTGGCTCCAGGTGCGGCCAGGGGCGTTTGGTCTTGCAAACAGGAGCATCAGTGAAGGGTGCTGTTCGCATCATGCTGTTTAAGGCCCTGCACTGTCCCAAATTGCAAAGTTCACCATGGGAAACCATCTAGCTTGATTTTAAAGGCCAGTATCCTTAGGCTGGCACACACTATGCCAGCCCATGCCATGCAACCCCACCATGGGCATGACACCGGCGCAAAGAAGCAGCAGCTCGGCGGTGCCGGGCAGCTCCCCTCTGCTTCCCCTCCTCATCTCTCTGTCTTCTCCCCCCACCACATCCTTGGTTGCTTTTTAGGGAATGATTTCCATAGGTTCTCTTGCCTGTGGCCATAGAAGAACATCCGGGCACGGCGCAGTGGCCGGGCCATGGCTACCTGCTGTTCACCACAATGGCCCACGGCCCTGGGGCCTGCTGCCGTGATGAGAAAGCGCCCGCGATAAAGACGAGCCCGGCTACCACTGCTCTCCTCAGAGAGCTGAGTCAACTCCTGGCGAAGAAAGGGGGAGAGAGAGAGAGAGAGAGAGAGAGAGAGGGAAAAAGAAAATACCCGCTCGGATAATAAAGAAGTAACAAATGGGGACTGAAAGCCTATAGAAGGCGTCTTAACCCGGTGAAGAAAAAAAAAGTCAACATCTGTGGAGCTGTCTGCAAAAACAGACCGAACTCCTAATGAATACCCTCTAGAAAAGGCATTCACTCGAGGAAAGGCAAAAGGCTACATTTTTCTATGGAGGTATAAAGATTTTGATGAATCTGCCCTTTCCCTTTCCAGTGCAGTTGAACCAGGCACTAATGTTCATCTTCAGCTGTATTAAAGGGTCCAAAGGGGGGTGGAGGGGGAAGAGTCTTGATCTGAAAGCTTATGAGGAGGATGGATGTAGGGAGCCCGGATAGATGTCTGAGCACTAAGGCAAGGAAGAAAAGCAACAGGCATTAGGGAAAATACTGTTTAACAAGAGTTTCTTTAGTCAGCCCATTTGAGCAGAGATTGGTGCGCCATAACCATAATCCTCTTAGGGCTGACTTAAACGTGTTTGTACAAAACAGGGAAATATAATATGAATGTAATAGTCACGTTTGCTAAAATGCTTAATAAAAAGACAAAAGTTCTTTATTTTGATCTTCAACTCCGGTGCGGGGTTGGGGCACAGCAGATGTTTTCTCAGAAGGCTGCTTGGAAAAAAAAAAAAGAAAAAAAGAAAAAAGTGCTGGGGATGCGGCTGTCCCGCCCGGCGCTGCCGCGTGGGACGCTGCGCGGCGCCTCACGCACAGCCGGCCCGTGCAGCCACCCCCGGGCTCTGCGGAGCGCCCGGCAAGCCGCAAAGGGCTCCAAGCTCCCAGCGCTTTTGGAGCACCCGTGGGTAAGCAAGATGCCTTTCATGTGGGACGGCACTGGCAATTTCCTTTGTTGTCTCCTGAGGCTTTGCTGCAATGCAATATTCAGTATTAAATGATATTCCCAATCTAGAAATGTTTCATCTCCTCCCAAGTGATTCAGAGTTTAATTCCCAGGCTGCAAAGCTTGACTGAGGGACCGTAGTGGTGTCACAGGGTGTTCCCTGCTTTGGGCTGTGGATGGACCAGTAAAACTGACAATTAGTTACTGCTAGAATCACTATACTACAATTTATCATAGAATAATTTTAAAGGCAGTAGACTCATTTATGAG